TTTAAGTGATCGATCAGTGTAATTTAGTCAGCTAATGAGGGACAAAAGAAGTTTCAAGTTTCGATAGTTGTTCGTGCGAAAGATAATATTGCCTGATCTTTCAAAATATATCGAATAATAGTGGTAGTCCAGTAATTAAAAAACGAATGTGATACAATCGCAAAATGTTAGTATGAGTAGTGATACTCTAAAATTTTTTTGAAATACTTTATTAACGTATTAAAGGCATGACAATTTATTTACATATTAAGAAACGCAAAAACTAAAAATTTATACGAATAATTGCTCGTGTGACTTTTGACATATTAATGTAGGAACGGAGGAAGGAAACTAGGACAGTCTAAATTAACACTGAATGGAACAAAAAAAAAAAGATTTCTTATAATCAACAATTTATGGATTATACATAAAATGACTGCATAAAATAATATTCCTCTATCGTACATAAGCACTTATGTTTTTAAAATTTGATAATTTCCTTAATCATCATAGCAAAATCGAGCAACACATTTTTATAGAACACCCAAGTCCCAAGTTGCAATTACATTTTGTTCCAAAAATTTAAAATTCTCAACGCATTGAGAAAAAGTTGAGCGACGCATTCCACCAAACATTTTATCTCAACAACAACTTGCAACGAAATTTACGGCACTCAAAACGAAGTATTAGTAATTACTCGTAAAATCCAAAAGCTCATTGAGAAATCGCTCAAATAAATTTTACGACACAAATAACCTCGAAGCCAGGACGAGTGTCTCCATTAAACGAGAACATCATAATTCGAGACCTGCCTCTTACGCAATCCACAGTCGTGCACATAACTCATACACGATCTCCTAACAGACTCTCGTACGAGTATTTTATGCTATATGGCAGTCACGCTCACCTCGTCATATGATATGAAATTTCGATTACAGCTCGTACTCGGACCGATTTTTCTTCTTTCACTCTGGAGCAAGAATGCAAGTGCAACTATTTAACACGCTCGCTCACGTTGTTACGCAACTTTAGTGCTTAGTTTGAAACCTCTCCCCTCCCTTTATCCCAATAATTATCAGCTCCAGCTAGATTCATCGCTCTTTCGTGCTTACGATTTTTCATTTCTCTGCTCTTCCTCCCAGAGACTTTCCAAATGCACGTCATGTAACATGTACAGGTACAGTCTATGCGCAAGACCATCGTAAACAATTTCCCGCAAGCAAATTCATCTCTGTCTGGTTTTCACCCATTACTCATTTTCCTCTTCCTTCTGCCAGGGTCCACTATCCAATAGACGTAATTATCACAGTCACCATTTAGTATTTGCACGGGACTGTATAAGCTTCAATAAAGTAATTATGGACTCATGTTTTGTACAATAGTGACCCGTGGAGGAAAAATGGACTCTTGGGAGATCTTAAGACGATGGCACTGGACGTGTGTACTTTTTAACTTAACATGTATAACTTCGTTTGGTCTTTATCAATTAGAATGAGCTTTTCAAGCTGAGAACCACCCCTTTTTTACCTCCATTGTAATCGTTGATACAGACAAGATCTTTTATTGTTCCGTCAGACATTTTGACCATTCAATTTGAAATATGTGTGGAAATACTCGTTTCAGAATACATCACATCATTATTTTTTACCTAACCATTCAATAACGTTATTGCAACCCATCTTTATTATCATAATTGGTCGGTTTAACCTCCATGAATTAACAATATTCTCGTTCTCCACAAATCAAAGTCTTTCAAGTACCAAAAATATGAACACTGATAATGCAAGTGTACAAAGTAAACTTGTACTTATTTGTAAAAGGTACAAAAATTATAGTGTATTCGACAGTCAAAAACTTTCACCAGCTACCCAACTTATTTCAGAAAAACTACAGTGCTTTAGTGCACATTCATTGTTGATCTGCAGGTTTTGGGCAAAAAATATTATACAGTACTACTAGTACATCTAGCGAAGTCCACGTAATTGCTGAGTCCTCCAGAAGATGTTATGGGGAAGGGAGTTTATTTGACGAATCAATCAATTTCATGGAGTCACGGTGAAAAATTTAGTCATCACGCATCATAATGTATCGTGTAAGGTATTATGGAAGGAAAAGCAATACAAAACCTTTGCATGTTTATCCTGCAAGCTTTCAACGTTTCAACAAATTGTGATGCACAAAGTCATAAACAAGATACCATATTATAACTGCCTCCACTACAACATGTTTTTCGCATCAGTTACGAACCCAATGACCATTTTGAAATGGATCAAATATCATCCAACCACCATCTAGCAGTGATAACAAATTTCTTTAAATTTCATTTGGATATTATGTTTGTAGCCCAGCGATAAACCAAAGAAGCCTTTACATATCCCAGATCATTTCAGCATCATGCAACAATCCTCTTTGTCCAACAATTTTAACTCAGTGAAAAGGCTTCAGAGGCAAGGCAGTAATAAAGCAATCGACCCCACCAATCGTGCCATCATCCCTCGTCCGACGAGCAAAGGTGGAGAAATCCCAAGCTAGATGGCCTATCTTCCCAATCATACATCGAAAATCGTCCCACGGCTTCGTCTCGCATTAATACCCTCGGTTTACAACTCACAACCCCCAAATCCGATTTAGTAGCCACGCATCGCGTACGTAGTCGTTGCGCGCGCTCGCACGAGCGACCAGATCTTATCTGTCCTCTATCTCGCGTGTAAATCCAGCCGCGCTCGCATTGACATGGAATCATGAAGGTTAAAGCCATTACATGAGTGTGTGTGCACTGTGAGTCCACGATGGAAGAAAAAAAATGAACAAAAACCCTACCAGAGAAGAGAGAGGAAAAAGAAAACCCGTCCCCTGGAAACGTGCAAAAGGCTGCACCTGGCTCGGTCGACCCGGTTCACAATGGACCATTAAGAGGTGAAGATTATACCAACGAGCCAACGAATCGAAGTTCAGCTGCCTTACACGTTATTGTCATGGCGCGTACCTACCTTCGATCATACATGTCACGTGAGAAAGATATCTTATTTACGGCATAGGCATGCTTTTACGAGACAGAGAGAGAGATTTTGCGTGCATTTAAAAAAGCTGCGGGAGCCCTGACGTCCCGTAATCACAGCCCGTAGGCGGTGTACGTGTGCGACAATCGGGCTTGGGACTCACTCCACTATTCGGTGCTTTATGAATGCTCGTTTTCTGGAGTGAATTTCCTCTTTCCAGAGTTTGAGGACCAGCACACTATAGGTGTGGAGAAGTGCAGTTTGGAACGATTGACTGCCACGCTGATTCCGTTTTATGGGTGAACAAGAAATTTTCGATGTCATCGACTACATGACATTGTGAGTTTTGGAGAAAATGATATTTTATACGAAGAACTTTTTGATTTGATCCTTTTGATATAAAGGATTTTATATAATTTATCCTTTGTTATGAAGAGTTCAACAAAATAGCTGTACAACGATTTTTTTGACTATATGATCGCATGAACATTAGTGTAACATTTTTAGCTCCTTACAACCATTAGTACCACACTTTACTCAATTTATAATGTACAATTAATTTTTTTCATTCGCTCAAATTTTACCTAGTTTTTTAGTCCTGTAAGAACTCTTTTTTTCTGTTTTTGAAAAATGAAGGCTGAAAGAGAATCATTTGGTATATGGATGTAGTTATAAAGTTTTGAAAGAAAAGAAAAGTTTAACATTACTTTCACCTTACTTACTCACTATCTTGAACTTTTTGAAAAAGTTTTCTTTATCATCCAACATTTAATGACTTTGGTCAATAAAGCATTGATAAGTGTCGTTAATTGAAAGTAGTCACTGCATTATCATTGCTCACACGGTCAAAAGTTAATTACAATGCTAAAAAGTTAATTTCATTTACAGTGAATCATTGCTTTTTCAAAATGCTACATCATACAATCGTTTCTGGGCAAGAATTAAAAGTAAAAAGCAACATTTGGACTTTTTCAGCAACATTTGACAAGCAGTGGAAGTACCAGTGCTTTTTTGGATTGGGCATTTCACAAACTTGTGTGATTATTCAATTAAAGTGATGTAATATAAATTTTTAAAACGCGTTAAACTTGTTGAAATATAAGCTGGTAACGCCCATTCTTTTGGAAACAGTTGTGTACTACATCAGACGTGGCAAAAAAAAATTTGATACTGGAGTTGCCGGAACAACTTAAAAAAATTTTTTTTGTAACATTTCAACCATTGCTGCGTACAAAAATGTAAGTTTTTCACACTAATTTTGTCTATTTTAATTTAAAAAAAAGTTAAATACATTTTTGTTCTCTCAAAGACAAAGCTTTGTTTTGGATCTTATGATACTTGATTTTTATTTTTAACTATTGTTTCACTCCCTTGATTTGAAAAATTTTGGAAAAATGTTGGAAAGTAAGTGCCTGTATACAAGCATTTTAAATTTTACTTTTTTATAGAATCAAAAAACTTTTCATACCTATTCGTTGACATTATGTAAAAAGTAAAAACTGCTTGTGTCTCGTGGGAAAGTATTTTTTTTTTTTTTTTTAATAGCTTACGTACATAATACTTTAAAAATTTTTTAAAGCAAAAAAATGGAAGATTCAGCTGTGTTAAACTCATTTTTCACAAAGAGCAAGTATAGCCTTCACAAAGAGTCAATGAGTCCTTACAATTTCATCTATTTCGTTGCATTCAAAATAGTTTTTTCGAAAAAACATAATTAGTTTACTGAGCTTGTTCTAGAAAACTGCCGTTAATATAAAAAAAGTCCAAATATAACTAAGTTCTAAGATCTCCACTTGACAAATTCTAATCCATAATTTTCTTTGTTGACAGACAACAACTTGATGAAGAGATCGTCCTTTGACACAAGTTACCTAACAAAATTTCTGTAACTTTCAAAGTACTAACAGACTACAGCGACGACGAAAACAATACCATCACCGAAGCCGCTGTATATCCAATTACATGAAATTAAATTTCGTAGTTGATTGTACATTGTATTTCTGCCGTGCAATACTGTCGAAGATGTCTCGAAACGGAAAACAAGTCTCTAACCACGTAGATACTGCTGGTGAAGGTACTTCGGTCAAACCCTACTGTTGCGAGGAATGTGGAAAACTGTTTGCCACGAGCAGATACCTTGCAACGCATAAACGCACCCACATGGGCCAAAAGCCCTACAGTTGCAACACGTGCCTGAAAACATTTTCCTGTCGGAACAATCTTCTGAGACACGGGCGAACCCACACCGGTGAGAAGCCCTTCAGTTGCGGATCATGTTCCCAACGTTTCTCTCAAAGGACTACCCTCACCCAGCACGAGCGGACCCACACAGGCGCGAAGCCCTACGCTTGCGAAGTGTGTTTGAGAGCTTTCAGGACCAAGGGACACCTTTTGACGCACAAGCGGATCCACACCAAAGAAAAGCCGTACACCTGTGAAATTTGTTCGCAAGCCTTCAGTCACAAGGACAGTCTTGTCGTGCACGGGCACATGCACACGGGAACAAAACCCTTCGGCTGCCAATTGTGCCCTAGAGCTTTCTCCAAGAAGTACAACCTCACCGTACACGAGCGGTCCCACGCAAACACGCGACCCTTCAGCTGTGACCTGTGCTCGAAATCTTTCATCCAAAAGAGCAGTCTAACGGTACACGTGAGGACCCACGGGAACGTTAAGCCTCACACCTGTAAAGTGTGTGGTAAAAATTTTACTAGGAAGCATTACCTGGCACTGCATGAGTTGGCCCACTCGAACGTGAGGCCATACAGCTGCTTCGAGTGTTCACGAAGTTTCACCTGTAAAAGCAATTTTGAACGGCATATAGGCTACCCGCACGTCCATGACTGCAGCGAGTGTTTACTGATCTTTATTCGGAAGTGCGATCTCGAAAGCCATATGGTCTACCAGCATTCTCTTCTTAAGTAGGGGGGAAGTCTAAAACAAAAATCAACAAAGTAGTAACGCTATATGATATGTTCTAGTGATTTTTGAGCAAAGTTTATGGCTTCAAGTACATGAAAAATAGCTTTTTTGATGAATAGTTCATACATCATTTTACAGTACACATGCCTGCCGTGTCCATGTACGAAATCTTCAACTGTAGAACTGTGTCTTAAGCAAGTCTACTCCCATTGCCAAACCTCCTTCTGTTTTTCATGTTTATATATTTTTATCTGCTAAAGCGATATTGTCTGTAAAGAGAAACATTGTTGTTTTCCTTGTCAAAAAGCGCCCGACAAGTTTATCACACAAATACATAATTTGCAGTGAGCAGCGACCACGCGATGATCTTGACATGTCTTTATTAGGATGTCCCATTACAGTCATTACAATGAAATATGATTGGAGACTTTCTGTGAGGAAGAGTAGAGTTGACAGGATTCAAGTTAGCCTTACAGTAAAGATGTGATACCAGTACCCAATTCACAAGGAATTCTATTACGCTACGTAGCAAGTTGTTGCACACCTGTACGTTCATATAGTGACATAAATCGATTTTTAGGTGTTTAATGTTAACTTACTTAAGCCAATATAAGAGTGATCCAAGCGTTACCAGCTAAATTGTAAAATATATATGCACGTATACGTCATCCATTAATAAAGACATCTCGAAAAAATTATATTAAACTGAGCTTCAATTTAATTTGTAGATTTATTTTCGTATCACAACCCGACAGTTTTGAGTCCAGAAAATTTCGTCGAAGGGGAACATTTTACCAGCCACACGATTCCATGACTCTAAAAAATTTTTCACGTAACTTACGTCATCGTTACCGTCTGTAAGCCACTGTTTTTTGTCATAGTGAAATGGTTTTATAAAACTACTAGGGATGTCTCAAGAATCTTTGAATAAATAATTTAATGTCTCTTATATTGTTTTTCAATGATGAAAAAGTTAAATGAAACTACTGTGATAATTGACATGGTACTTTTTTCAAGGTGATTGTGCATCACTGAAAATTTAAGTTTTTTGGATTTTCAAAAACACTGATACTCGTAATTCCCGTGTTTATACAGGTTAATTTTTAAAATGTTCCACGGTCCTGGATTTTCTTAAATTTTTTGCACTGTTATATCAAAACAATAATGTTAAAGGCTTGAGTTGCAGTAAATTCTTTGAGTAAAAATAAGAATTGGCAATAAATTCGCCGAGAAATCAAAATGAATTTCACCACACAAACCCTCAAGTTTCACTTCTACTGACTTTTACTGTTGCATTAACTTTACGACGTGCGAATCATGTCTCTTTTCATTTTCCTCAATCTGAAACAATGATATTGTTACCTTAAATAAGCAGCCAAACGATCGTAAGAACCATAAAGAAAAAGGTACAACAGCGTTTCTGGCAAATAGATTGACACTATCAACACGTTCCAACTTTTTCCAAAAAGATTAACTGTTGCACCCGTAGCATCAGAACACCTGGCATCTTACGGACTCAACTTCGAAGAGAAAAGACAATAAAAAAAAAAAAAAAAAAAAAAAAAAAATAAANACAGCGTTTCTGGCAAATAGATTGACACTATCAACACGTTCCAACTTTTTCCAAAAAGATTAACTGTTGCACCCGTAGCATCAGAACACCTGGCATCTTACGGACTCAACTTCGAAGAGAAAAAAAAAAAAAAAAAAAAAAAAAAAAAAAAAAAGTACACACAGAGAAAACCAAACGACGTGTCTTCAACGTGCGCCACGTAACAACGCGGCAGTACCTTTTTCTCATACGCCATAAGATTCTTTGGGCACTCGGTTGCCCCGCGTGAATACGTTCAGCGCGTGAATGGCATGCTACCTCCGGACCAGTGCACGAAAGGCTCGCCGCCGCAGACCAAACATCATCAGCCAACCACGCTAGGGGGGGAGGAAGAGCATCCCCCGCGTGATGATCCATCGAGGAAGGAGGTATTTTCCTCTTTTACTCGCGCTCGAGGTGCTCACATTAGCACCGGAGGTTTCCACTCACGGACTGAGTTTTCGATTGATCGGGATATTACCCGGGTAATGGCGCGTGCGGCGAAATAACGACGGTAACAACGCCGTTCGTCTTGCCCGGAAGAACTACACTTGCACTCGTGGTAGGGTGGGGGGGGGGGGGATCTCCCAACAAATGTCGGGAAAATCAACGGCAATGGCTCAACGTCACGAGCCAAGGAGCTGGGAAAAAATGGCCCCCGCATTTGTTAGCCTTCGCTTTGTGTGCACACGAGCTCCGCATGTACATATATAGCTTCGACGAGAGCAGTCGGCCGAACGCGTGCTTAGCATGCGATCTCGTTGTTTGCTAATAAAGTTATTGCCCGCTGGTTGTACGTGGGGGAAAAATTTACTACCTGCCCAAACGGGGCACGAGGCGCGCCGAGGATGAAGGGGATACTATACGACTTCATGAATGTTTCATGCGGTGGTTTTCCTGATTTGCGTATGCGCATGAGGTAAGGGCTAAATATGGATGCACGCGCGCGCCCATCTATCTCGCGGGCAGTGACGAGTTCCGGCTTCGGTTAATCTTGATCGGGTCTGGGATTTTTTTTTTTTTTTTTTTACTTAGCTAAATCTCTATAAGTTGTGGCTGATGTCTGACAAATTTATACGTCTTACTTACTTTTTTGATCGGTGATTTTTACGGGAGTGTCTAGATTTTTTTAATGGCTTTTTTTTTCAATATTTATATTTACCTCTTCAATCACGAATCTGTCGTATATTGATTGGTCCACAAGATATTGATGAATTTGGAACCGTAGGTTATTGTTCATCCAAAAATATACCTATTAAAATTTTGTAAATTGATAAAAAGTTGATGCTTTACAGTTAAAAAGATAAAATAATTTGGATAATTAGTTAGATAGGAATAACGGATGGAAAAAATAAAGTTTACAAAATGTCACTGACCTCTTATAAATTAAATTTTAATAAGTATTAAAAGCTTCATTTTGGATTACATTATAAATAGTTGATAACTATCTTCAAACATATGAATGATGATTATAATGAGCCTTTTCATTATTTTTAAAGATTTTGAAGTCATATGAATATTAAAAGAAGTCATACCTTATTTTAGGCACTATTTCAGGCTCTTATTCAGCGGTTGTCGCAAAGTCATTGTAACTACCACAATTTTACCCAATGCTCCGGAAATTTTCTACAGATTTTGTTGAAAAAAGAATATGTTTAAGTTCATTATGATTGAGATTATTGTGCTAAATTTAAGTCAGCCTAACGTCATCGTTTTGAAGATGTGTTAACTCAAAGTTATGTTGCAATGTTAATTGTACATCTACAGTGGTACAACTCCATGCAAAAGCCGGACTAATTCGCAATTCTTACATTTTTTGTTATTTCTTTTGATAACTTCGATAAATATGCGTCAGAACTCATTCACACTTTTGACCAGGAATTATCTCAACTATTAGGAACCAAAAATTTATTAACCCCCTTGAACTAAAACCAACATGCTTCAACCAACCTAATGGATGTTACCAATGGCAAAACCCCTGCAGCAGCCCTGACTGTATAATTTCCCAGCCAACACTTGTACGCGAAAAAAAGCGATCAAACAAACGAACGGACACGCATCGCAAATGAGCCAACTCTCTTTGATTAAACTCGAGCTCATCCCTCGTGCCCGAGAAACAAGCTCTCTCCGATTGAGAGCAGCTGTAAATCCCTACCCCATGAAGCGATCGAGGAACGTTTTTTCGCCCACCGAGCTTTTTTACCAGCCACACGTGTACAGAAGCCTCCACTCGTTTGTTCGCAACGTCCGAGTTTGTGTGTTTGCCAAGGCCGGTTCCGGCCAATTGCCGCGGTGTGTACACACACATGCACGCTGGACTTTTTGTTTGTTGGCGCGGTGGCCCCGCGGCGGTGGTGTACTGCACACAGAGCCGAAGATCGCGGGCTTCCGCGGAGCGCAAATAATTTTCGGCGCTTCGGAAATTAAGTGCAAATATCGGCGCGCCGCCGGATTTTTGGCGCTTCGAGCCGAGGCGAGTTCTTTAAAGCCCGTGGAACATCAGGGAGGGTTGTTTGTGCGCCCGTGTGTACCCGAGAGAGCGTCCGTTTGTTTGAGGGCTCTGCTTTTCTTTCGGGGAGGGGTTTCGCGGTGATGATTCGATTGGGGCTCTCCCTTCCTCTTCCGGTCTCTGGATTAATATTGGGCCGCTGATGAAATTACGGAATTGATTTTTGGGGTTGCGTCGCGCGGGAATGAGATATACACTTTTATCGAGTTCGCGTGGCAACATGAAGGTGCATCGGGTTTTTGCGGATTTTAATTACTGGAAATGTTAATAATGCTGGCTTTCAATATGAAAAAACTTTTTTTTTTTTTTTTTTAACAAAGTTTGATATTAAAACTAAAAAGTTTTACAGCTGTAGAAAATACACGGCAGCGTTAATATAGTTTGCTCACTGCTTGTTTTGTTAGTTCTCATTTGTGATGAAAACGTTTTTTGACAACTAAAACATGATAGTAAAAGTAACAAAATAGTAGAAGCAAATTTTTTTAATTAAAAATATATTAAGGACAAAAAATTTTGCCTGGTTAGGAGTTATCCTGAGATTATACTGTTTACAACTGTACACTCACACGAATTCCAGGGGCAAGTTCCAGGGACTAAATCATGTACTTTCATCTGATAACTCGTTTTTTATTATACTTTTTTTCATGTAAGAATTGAAAATAGTTTGATTAAATCTTGTCAATATAGTTTAAAAAATCATATTCGTAAAAAAATTCCTGGTACAAGTCTGGAAACGATTTTCTCAGGTGTTGCAAAAGTCTTGCTCAAAATTTGGCTAAAATTCGATTAATGAGAAAATCTTAAATTGTTAATGTATACCTACATTGATGAGGCAGGGTTGAGGATTCAAAAAATTATTAGTGCTTACTCTTTACTTTTTTAAAGTTTTTATACGATACTTAG